TGCAAGAACGCATAAATCAAACGGCAAAGGAGAAACAAAATGACCAACAGAATCACTCAAAATCCCCAAACAACCGAACTAACCCGCAGGTTACGGGGCTCACAAGCCTCAGCCCGAAGTGAACAGGCAAAGAGCTACCACCGGGTTTCGTCCTGATGTTGCTGGCGAGGCTGTGCCGGATGCTCCCAGATTTGGAGCGGAATATCTATGTAGACTTAGCAAGAGCTAGAGGAGCACTTCCTACCCTGGCCTCTCGGAGTCCGCCTCCTACAGCCTTCACTTTCTCCAGCAGCGTCGCAGCCGCGCCCGGGGGCGTCTTTTGGCGCCAAGTCCCAACTTTCCCTCCACTGGGGAGCGCCGAGCTACCCGGGATGTCAGAGGAGGAGGAGGAGGAGGAGGGGCCGCGCCCGGATTCCCCCGGGTCAGCGCTCTCATCCCGCGGGCGGCGACGCAGGTCCCACGAGTTAGAGCAAGAGAAGGGAATGGAGGGGATGCGGGCAGCCCTGCCACCATTACCTGAGGCACGCACAAGCTGCCGCGGTGACCACCATCGCTGGTGGGCCAGTCCCCTTCTTGGTCACCGCGGCCACCACCGCCACCAAAGCAACTGACTCTAACAAGTAACTACTGGCCCCCACCGATTCCAGCCGGCCGTTCTCAGCCTGCCCGCCTCCGCGCAGCTCCGAGTACCGCCCATCCGCGCGCGCGCTTGGAAGCGAGCTCCTGGAGGAGCGAGTACGCGCGCCCACGGCCCTTGACCCTCTGTAGGCAACTTAGTCCCGCGGAAGGAGTTAGCCTGTCTCTCATGTTCCTACCTCAATAAAATGAGGTCCAGAGAGCTCCTGTTTGGCTCAGGAGGTTGGGATGAAGGACATTTCGGTTCAAATAAGTTCCTGAGGTATTGAGCCAGTGCCAGAGCCCCTCGGTCAGCCTGCGGTGGAATACATAATTAGGTTTTCAAGGACGCCAGCATACAGTAATTGCCAATTCAAGCCCCAATACTTCTTCCTGCAGGCCTTAGCAATTAAAAACACTACATCTCCCAGAAACCTCCGCGAAAGTGAGTCTCACTTGCGTAACCACGTTGGCCTTCGTCACATTTGAACAAAATAATCCCTTCATTTTTCTGAAGGTGTCCGGCATAGTATTTCATTTTCTCCTCACCGAAACGACTTTAAGTGTTATTGCGATAACAGAAGTTGCCTGTGGAAAGGTGTTTAAGATGATAAGGTAAACGGAAAGAAAGGACATCATAATAAAGTACTGCGGAGGAATTTTTCTCCAGCTGTGAGACGCCAGAGAAGAGTGAATGCGATTGAGAGAGGCTCAGAGAATTGTCCTCTGTACTGGGGACTTTCTTTAGCTCCAGGTTCCTGCCTAGCCCCATCGTCAGCAGGTCAGTAAGCAAGGCAAGTTTGGGGATGGCCACAGTGGTGGCGCCCTTCACTCTCTTTTGCCATTGTTAATTGGCTTGTCTTGGTTTGAAGTTGATTGAATGGAGGCCCCTCACTTCCGGTTGGGGGAAGGGAGGAAGGCAGTCCTCAGGGGAGGAGGAAACAACTCACTTCCTGTAGGGTTAAAGTGATGGTAGGGTGTCCTACCCACAACCTGTAGCGGCTAGGGCTTGAAAAGGTGATACTTGGTGCCATTTGCACAGACTATGTTTTCAAGTTTGGGGGATTATGTCTTATATGAAAAGTTTGGTTATTAAACCAGTTTGTGTTGCTAATGTTCCACCCTCCAGTCAAAATTTATGTGAGGTTTATTTCAGCATGCAAGATGGAATATTTTCTCCTCGACAAGATTTTTCTTAATGCGTTCTTAAAAGAATTCTAAACCCCTTGTTAAAATTATCTATTCATCTCTGCAAGATGACGCACTTTCTTGTGTGACTTATAATTGCCCACTTCTGCTCTTTACAGTCCAGCGCTCACCTAATGAGGTGTGTGTCACTATCTTGGCATGCTACAGGAACTCTGTAGCTATGGCTTATTACAGCACTCGATATTTTACATAAATTATGAGGCATATTCACCTTACATCAATGTTTCTCATTCTGTTTCTTTGTTATGGAGTGAGGCCACAACATTAGTAACAAAGAAACAGAATTTCCGGAGGCTGAGGCCCAGAAATCAGGATTTTAAAAAGATTCCCAGGTGATTCTAATGTGCAGCCAAGGTTGAGAACCACTGCTTTACCCGAATGAAAGTATACTGAAGTACTCACCTGCATGGTATTACCTTAACTAAAATGATTGGTACCTTATATTCTTAGACTTTTTGATTTTAGGCTACAGATTCTGCCCTGTACCTAAGAACAACTTATTCATGTAAATTTTTACATGTAACACATAGTTTTTGTGAAAGTTAAACTTTAGCACATTTTTCCTTTTTGTAATTTAATTAAATTCAGATAGATTCAAAAATGATATCTAGTTTTAAAGCATGGTACAAGGATGAGATTCAGCTCAGATTTTAAGGGCGGGGGGATTGGCTTACAAAGGACAAAAGGTGAATACATCTATTTTTCCTGTATTCTCATTGTTTCATAAGAAACTGTATGCAAAGTGGTAATAAACACTAAACAGTTTTGATCCCATGGCTTCTATTTTCAAGTACCATAATACTTGAGTGTATGGATGTGTACTGAAGGAATCAATCAATATAGAGCTTAAAAATCTCAACAACTTTAGTAATTTTAGAATATCTGTCAAATAAACTGTAATGTCTTTCAAGAATTTTTAAAAGAATGAAGCCTGTGTATATTCTCCTTTTGGATTCTTACCTAATTTATCCTTATAATTTGCAATTATTTTAATTCTAGTTCCTTTAAAAACTTATTTGGTTTAGAGTTTATTAGAAAATATGTTTTAAACTAAATGTTACAGTAAAAGGAAAAAATATATGGTTTAGCCTTCTGTAAATATAAAGGATCTCAGACCCTAAAATCAATGAGTTATCTTTTTAAAGACTACAAAATTTCTGCAGTGGTTGAAAAGGTGAGACAAAATAATGTCTGTTATTATAAGGTTAGGGGCATGTAGACTGCCTCAAGCAAGTATTAACAAATTGATTAGAGAGAATGTGTTCACTCTCTTCTTTATTAGTGTAATATATGATCATTCTGACAAAGTAAACTATAGTGTTAGGATTATTGAAGTAAGTAAAGATTATGGAGCTGACTTGAAAAGATAAAGATATTAAAATTTTGATTAAGATACATTGATATTACCTTTTGGAAACTGTCTTTGGGAAGCAAAGGAGTTTTTTAAATTAGTTTCTATGCTATTCCATGGAAGAAATGCACATAAATAAAAATTGCTGCAGCTGAAAGACTTGATAAGTGGGAGTTATTTATTGTTTCCATCAGATAAATATTAGGAAAGCTTATGAAAATATAAGGTAAGTCCATGGGAAAGTGTTCCTGTGGAGAGGTTTACTATCTTCCAAAGGCTTCTTTTTAAATATTTTTTATTGCAATTTTCATTGCATGTTTTAATAGAAACATACTATCAAAATAGAAAAATGCTTCTGTAAGTGTGCTCTTATTATCTTACAGTTAATAAATTTGAGATTTTTCATTCCATTGCTCTTGTTATCTTAGAGTTAATAATTTGAGATTTTTTATTCATTTCATTGTGCATTTTTTAGAGTATTTAGATTAGATAATCATTTTCTTTTCCAAAAGTAGTCATTGAATACACTGGTCACAACAGTTTGAAATATTAAAACAGTAAGTCAAAATTCTGGATTCAATCACACTGAAATTTGATTAACCATTAACCACAGAGTGCTAGAAAAAGTGTCTTTTTATTCTTTTCTCACCATTCTTTATAAAGTCATGCTAATGTTTTACAGTTATTGCTATTTGTTTATTGTTTAAGTAGTTTTTGCCATGAGATCCGGTGTTAAAGAGTATATCCTAACAATTTGAGTGTTTTTTCAAATTTACTCCACTACTGTTCCTTACATGACTTTTCCATTATTTCAACACTAGAGGCCCGGTGCACGAATTCGTGCACCAGTGGGGTCCCTCGGCCTGGCCTGTGGGATCGGGCCAAAACTGGCCCTCCGACATCCCCTGAGGGGTCCCAGATTGCGAGAGGATGCAAGCCAGGCCGAGGGACCCCATGGGTGCACGATCGGGGCCCGGGAGGGATGCAGGAGGTTGGCCAGCTGAGGGAGGACCCCAGGGCATGTCTGGCCTGACTCACTCAGTCCTGATTGGCCAGCAGCAAGCTAACCTACCAGTCAGAGTATCTGCCCACTGGTGGTCAGTGCATGTCATAGCAAGCAGTTGAGCAACCTTAGCATATCATTAGCATATTATGCTTTGATTGGTTGAACGGATGACTGGACGATCAGACACTTAGCATAATAGGCTTTTGTTATGTAGGAAAAGTTTATTGACTCTGTATTATGTGCTAATCACTGTTCTAAGGACTTAGAATAATACATCAGTGAATACAGACAAATATCCAAATTCTCTTGAAGTTTACTCTAATTTCCAAATTAAAACTGGAATTTTCTCCCTTGGTATTCCTAAGTAAGGTCTATTGTATGATCATTTTTCAAATTGAGTCGAGAAGCTGCCCTAACTTTGCTCTCTCTTGGTGTTGATCTCTTAAGCCATTTTAAACCCAGTTTTGAATATTTCAGCCTAGTTTTTCTCCAGACCTTATAAACCTATGTGTTAAATATTCAGCCCTTTTCATTGACACGTGTGGTAATCCTACCACCCTAGAATTATTTGTATGGGAAAAACAAATCAAAGTGAATACTGGGAAAAATGTGGAATCAGGCTGGCCTTGGTTCAAAACTGCTGTCGACATTTTACTATCTAAGCTTACTAGCTCAGCAACCTTGAGCAACTTACTTGACCTACCTGAGCCCCAGTTGCCATAAACCAGAATGGACTTATTCAGTAAATCAAGGATATTATATAAAACACCTACCACAGTGCCTGGAGTAAGGAGCATAATGAATGCTATCATTTTCCCCTCAGTCTTACTTCTGCTATTCTGGCTATTGGGATTTGCCTACATATTAAGCCTTACATATTCCTAGAAGTATGGGATACAGTACATACTAGGACTATTGAAATTCTTCTGTTCTCCCTAACAACATGCTCACTTAACTGTCAAAATTTTTAGTTTGTTGTGGAAATGAGATAGCATTAATTTCAGTGGTCACTTGAGAAAATATACAAAATAGGAAAGTTTTAAGAAATGGTTTGGTGAGGAGTCGCCAAAGTAATTTGAATTATTATAGGAAGATATTTAAACCATTCTTCTAATGCTAAGCCTAATATTTAATGTCTTTCACAATATGACCATATCTCTAATTACCTACTTATGTATCCCTAACTGATTGGTTTCTTAAAAAAGAAATTCAGTTCTGTATCCAGTCTTTTCTATCTTTGTTTATGCTATTTTCTGCCTGAAAAACTTTCTCTTTTCCCAAGAATCTCTATCAAAATGCAACTTTCTTTGGGACCCTTTCTCAAGTACCACCTTCAACTTCAAGAAATATTTCCTGATGTCTGTCTTCTCTTTCCACTCTCTCAACCATATATACTCTGTTCATTGACCCCCATTTTGTTCTTTTCTTATGGGATTTACTATATAGTGCTGTCACTATTGTTGTTGTTTGTTTTTGTCATTGTTATTGTATATAGAGTTTATGTACTGCCATAAAAGGCTTCAGACTCTATCTCAGTCCTATTTGTGTCTCCTGTCATACCTGGCCCAATGCCAATCAAATCATAAATA